CAGGGACAACCTAAACCTTAGCGGAAGCTACTGTATCATCCTCCAGTGGCTCAACAATGTAGTTTTCCTCTGACTGTCTTCATGCGACATCGTTGCTGGCTGGTTGTGGCCGCCTGATTCCAAGTGAAGGATCAATGGAGCAGTCGGAGGAAGACCTGAACCTTTCACATTTGCTGGAACACGAGAGGGATATGATCCTGAAGGTTCTGCAGAAGGACGAGAAGCTCCGCAAACGGGAGGAGAAGAGGATACGGTGAGGAGTTCATGGTATCCTGGTGTGGGGCTACGGTAGTAGTAGCTCATTTAGCTGCTAACTAATCAAGATGTTATTGTCTATTTCTTGTCCGTTGCTTTCAGAAAGCTGAAAAATGAGCTCCTGGAGATCAGACGTAAAGGCATCCGTCGCCCTGAGGATTTAGGGGAGCGACAGTGTGCCGGCTGCCTGAAAACTTTAGGGCTTATTTTCGACCGTGGAGATCTCTGCGAGGAGTGTTGCCTCCGGGTCTGCAACGCGTGCCGTGTGTTAAATCCTGATGGACGCCAGTGGAAGTGTAACGTCTGTGCCAAGATCTCGTAAGTGCGACGCCTGCAGGAACTAAGTCATTGTGCTGTTGCTACAGATGGTGTGAACCAGGTGATAAATGACACGACAGACTCTCAGGTGTGTTCAGAGCTGGGGAAATATCCAAGACCTGAGGGGAAATCCTTTGAATTGCTTTGTTCAGCCTGCCAGAATAAAAATCTGATTTTTTAAATACAATTTTTAAAAGATTTTAATTAACTTCAGTTAAATAAAGGTTGCTTTTATTTATTTTATTTTTTATCTTTAGCTATTTTTTTTTTTTTTTTTTTTTTTTTTTTTTTTTAAGTAGCTTACACTCAGTTGTTCCTAGGCTAAATCGTTCTCTTTTAAATTTAATTTAATTTAATTTAATTTTTAATTTTTGTTTTTTTTGGTCAGTTTAAGACTCATTTATTTGCCAACACATCTGTGTTTTTTTGGGGGGGTGGCTTATTTTTAGATATTTTTGCCTGGTTGCTCTGGAAAATCTTTGGCTTTAAGTTAACTTGACTTTGTTACATTTGAACTGTATTCAGACTGTAGTTAAGAAATTATTATTGTTGACTAAAGGTGTAAAATTGTAATCTATAAATGTTGGTGGTCGAACTATTAGAGAAATCATATTAGGAATTCTTTGGGGTTTTTTTGTTTGTTTTTTTCCAGTGATTTTCAAAAATACACTCTCTGGAACCAATTTCTTTGGTGTCAATCTCTCTTCTTCTCTCACCTACAGTAATATGTCACGGCGTTGTACTCTTTGCTTGCAGGGAGCTGAGGGTGCTGACAGGAGAGTGGTTCCTGGAGGAGCGGTCCAAACGTTTTGAACATGGCCTTCCCAGCAGTGACATGGTGAAACAGACGATCCTCAGCAGCCCCATCAGTGAGTCTGGACAACAATGTAGTGACTAAAATAATGTCTTCACCTGATCCCTAGATGAAACTGGACATTTTAAGGCAGTGTTTCCCAAACTTTTTTTTCTGGGGACCCATATTTTAAAAGTCATGAACCTTCGCGAAGGAAGTCAATAGACATTATTCATAAACTCCTGGGAAACATGATGCGAGACAACCCCAAAAATCGGTCACAACCCAGTCTTTGGGAAACAATGTTTTAAGGCATGCTACACTTTAAAATGTTGTTTGTAAGAGGCCACTGGAAAGCAATAAAAATGTCCTAATTATTCTTGTGTTTTTACCATGGGTCTTGGATTTAAATACATCACTGGTAATTCACAAAATGAACTACATTTATGTATCACAGCAGCATCATTATGTAATTTCAACTCTAAGACCCCTTGAAAACATATTTACAGCCTTGGTATAAATGGAGTTAGAAATCTGGATAAGCAGTTAGAATACAACACAATACTATACTATACAATATAGTACTATACCATACAATATGATGCACATGTAAAGGAAACTAAATGAAAAGAAAAAAAATGATAATAGAAGGTAAAACCTTCAGGTTCGCTGCAGTTTTACTCCTACTGTCTCAAAGGTCAACAATCACATTCTGAGTTTTTTTTTTCCTTACTTAATTACATTTGCTTTTGTAGTCACTGCGTCAGCTCCAAGCAGACTGGTCATCCTCTGACCTTTTATCTGCAATGAACTTTCTATTTGCTGGAAGGTCCTGGAAATGTTGCTGGAATAAATCTCATTTTCTTTGTCTGACTGCAAGGATGGCAGACTGAACTGTCTGCTGCAATAAATGTTGTGAAAGTGCAGTACGGCAGCTTTAGTCTGTGTTTCTCCACACAAAAAAAACACTTTTAACCAAAAGTTCTAGCTCTGTGTTTCCCAAACCTTTTCTGTGGGGACATATTTTAAAAGTCACAAACCTTCGCGACCCAAGTCAATAGACATTATTCATAAACTCCTGGGAAACATGATGGGAGACAGCCCAGAAAAAAAACTCTTGCGACCCACCTGAGGGTCGCGACCCAGCCTTTGGGAAACAATGCTGTAGCTTGTCTTGAAGGCTGAATGTGCAGTTAGATGCACCGTAGTGATCTCATTCTTTTGTTTTGATACAAAGTCACAGAGAGAAAGTCCACAGAGAACGTGTCAGTCATATCTGAGTCGGAACTATCTAGGACTGATAGTCCTCGATCCAGCAGAAGCACCATCCTCGGCTCTGTGGACCATATCAGGAGGAAACGGTGAGTTGAAGAACATTTGTGATTGTTTACTTCACGCGATGAACCGATGAATCAGGAACCAACATTAAAAGTCTTAAATAAAGAGTGGCAGCAGGGAGAGTGCAGAGAACAGTCGACTCTGACGTTTACCGACGGCTCCTTCTCAACACAGAAGCCGCAGAAGAGATTAGCTGGACGCTCATTTGATTTTGCAGAGCCGGAGTGCAATTGTAAAAAGAGCAACAAAACAGTAATCCGATTGGGCCTGACTCACCTCACCACCACATCTTGGTTTGCACCCTAATTGCTCCTGAAGGCATCACGGGGTTTCAGACACACAAAACCACAAGAAGCAGAGCAGATCAGATTAGCTGCATTGACTTAATAAATACTGAAGCCTCAGAAAGAGAGTGTGTTTTTTTTTTGTTTTTTTTTAAATGAACGCTGTGTGTCCGTGTCTCCAGGAGGATGAAGGCAGATAAAAAAGCCAACAGACCTCTGAAGCCAGAGAACGGCATCGGCGGTGTCAAGTCGGCCTCAGATGGAGACGCTCAGAGTGTACGAAGCGTTCGCTCTGCGCCCACGCCACGTTCAAACAGGTGAACATCAACACTCCTAGTTACATTTACTCTCTCCAAACACATTTCCAGCGTGTCTGCAGGAGGATGAAGGCAGATAAAAAAGCCAACAGACCTCTGAAGCCAGAGAACGGCATCGGCGGTGTCAAGTCGGCCTCAGATGGAGACGCTCAGAGTGTACGAAGCGTTCGCTCTGCGCCCACGCCACGTTCAAACAGGTGAACATCAACACTCCTAGTTACATTTACTCTCTCCAAACACATTTCCAGGTGGATTCCTCTGACATCATCGGACCACACGGGTACAAAGTGATCATGGGAGCGTGAAGTCTTAAACTCTGGTTCCCCTACTGGTCAGACGCTGACATTTCCAGTCTGGTTTTTTTTTTGGAAGCTCTTTCTTTTTAATGGTAGCAGATATGAATTTTGTTTTTTCAAGTTGATTTAACTGTGTTTCCGCAGCGGCAGCGATTGTTCCGAACCTCATTCTGTCAGTTTCGGAGCAGCCATTAACAGTCTCTGAAGCAATAATACTTATATAAAAATAGATAGTCAGGCATGTGGGTTAAAGAGTAGAGAAGACAATTCAGTTCATCACAGATCGCTGCTATGGTGCTTCACGTACAACACTGCAGGGTGTGGTGCTAAATGCAGCTCTGCTTTTACAGCTCTGATGAACTTCTTGGTCTTCTGTTTTTCTCTGCCTAAGGAAACATTGGCATCTGTTGCAGCTTCTGCTCCAACAGTCTTTGGACAATCTGTTTGTACACTCTGCTCCAGAGCTTTCTCCAGCCAGGCCTGCATCTTGTCCTACACACTGGCTTTGTCCCAGTCCTGCCTGTTATTGTGCAAATGTAGGGACACAGTGGTATGTAATTCAGGTGGTCCATAGACTGGATGGGTTAAAGAGTAATTCAGATATTTATCAGCCACTGTGAGGCCCCAAGTCACGAGTCATCAGTGACATCAGAGGTGAACAAGAACTTCAGAGTGACTTTAAATGATTTGAAGGAGAATCAACAACAACGGAGTACGGAGCACATACAATTACACTGGTACTAGGAAAATGTTTGGGAGTGAAAAACTATTGTGTAACTACTAAGAGGGATCAGGCTGAACTTCATTTGGCATAAATAGGACACTGCATATCAACATCCTCCCCGCAGTAGAGTCTGGTGGAGGGAACGTCGTGACTTGTGCCTGCTCCGCTGCCATCATTTAGGGAAAAACTTTTTTTCCAAGTTTATAATCAAAGTCTCGGGGGGAAAGCGAAGGTGTCTGACTGAACAATGGCTCCAGAAGAACAAGATCCAGCTTCTAGAATGGACCAATCAGAGTCCAGATGTCTGGACCGTCGTCATTTTTAACCATTACTGCGTTGTGTTTCAGAGGTGGTGCGGTCGCCGTGGAGTCCTCAGGGCTGCCCACTGTACTGAACAACCAACGGTCCCTAACCCCAGACAGAATGTCCAACCTCAGCAACGGCCGAAGGGTCAGGGTCAGCACCAACACACATCCACATACACCTGTAGATGAGTCACGGTCAGGCGAGAACAAAGAACCTGACACTCTGGGTGTGTATCTGTGTTTGAAAGCAGCCTGATGGAGCAGAGAGCGTGGCCAGTTTCCAGTCCAACGACAGCGCACTCGAGAAGAAAGCCGCCGGCCATCACCGGAGCAACTCTGGCACGCCGGCCATTTCTGTGTCCAGAGCTTCCACCATTTCCTCAGGTGACTGAACCACAGTTGTCTCAGTTCTCAGGGATCTTAAATCCCTGTTTGCAGCGCCATCATATGGTAGGTGAGGTGAGATGGACAATTTAATTTGGGGCTAAAACTCTGACACAGATGGCAACACTGCTGAGTTGTGTTGTTGTTGTTTCAGCTCAGTGTCATTCTTCCCTTTCCCTTGTTTTTTTAGTGTTGTTTTCATCTTCGGTAATTAGCCTGACTGGTCCCAAAATGAAGAAAACATATGGTGTTTAACCAGCAGTGCTAACTGCAGCACTGGTGCCAAATGTGCTTTAAAAAACAGCCTAATGATCGTGATGCTCCTAAATGAGAACCACCATGTTTTATCGATGACTCTGAGAGAAGTCTCTTATAAAGTTCGACCGAGATTCTTCAAGTGATGATTTTTAAAAGTCTTTCAACAGCATCTGTTCCTCCCTTCTTTCTGGGTTGTTTACCCCGTCTCCTCGTCTCCCTGTTCCAGATCACAGCCGCTCAGACATGGACCTATCTGTTCCAGGTTCTGAGCCCACCAGCGAGGAGGTGCTCAGTCTCAGGAGCCGCTCGGTCCCGGGGCTGAACGACACAGTAAGAAGGCTTTAATCACTTCACTTCAATCACCACTTCTACTTCTTTCTGCTGCAGCTTCTCTGCTGATTTCCATGACAGCAGAGAAGAACTACGTGTGTGTGTGGAATCTGCTCTGATTCTCCAGTCCCTGCTCCTCTTTATAAATCCATACATCTACTAGGTTTTGTTGAGGATGCAGAGCGCTCTCGTGCTGAATAAAAAAAAAATCAACTCCCACACCTGGTGAAGGGAACCACTGCTGCATCTCTGTGTCCACCAGACCAAGTCTGAACAGATGTTTTTCATCTGACAAATTGAATAGAGGTTTAATACATTTAAAATTTTAAATTTAAATCCTACTCAGAGGCCAATGAATGGCCTGCATACAAAACCCCATCCATCCTTCACGCTGCTCAGTTTGCTGTCAACCCAATGATGCTTCATTTTGCACATGATGGCCCAAATTACACGCTCTGCCCTGAACGCTTTAATTAAATATATACAGTAGATATTTGCTGCATCCACCCACACGGAGCATCTGTGCAGCAAAGACTGCACAGACCAAGGAGAGGCACCGGCCAGTTGTCTCCGTCAGCCCGTTTTCTAGATGAGATGACATTTGTTTTTAATCTGCAGGAGTTTCCCGAAGGTGATGTGGAGGAAGACATCGACGCCCTGATGTCGGCGCATCGCAAGACAGTAGAGCGACGTCTCAGCAACGCAGTGTCAACGGTAACATCTGAACACATCAAATTTGACGTTTTAACATTTTTATCTTACTTATTCCAATAACAGAAATTTGTTCAACAAATTCACAAACGGAAACATTTAAAAAAAAGCTTTTTTTTCCCTAATGTATGTTTTATTTGCATCTGATAATTAAATAGTGGGGAGTCCTGAAGATACGCAGCAGCCAGAGTTTCCTTATTAAAACACAAGGCTAGGTGATTACTGAAGTGCAAAATGTTGGTTAATGTTAGCAACGATATAGTTGCTTTTACTTTACTAAGTGAGTTGACATGACTTACAGTTAGCCAAAATGGCAAGAAAACATTAGTCAAAGAGTAAAGTTATGTGTAATAAAGTGTATAGTAAAAAGGTTATAAACGAAATCCATTACTTAAACCTACGTCAGAAAGTAGCAGTACTGGCTACAAATAATTATAAACATTAACTATTTTCCTAAATTAGCCAACGTAGCTTGAAGTATAGGTCAACAGAAACAATACTACAATAAGTCAGTTAAACTGGTTCGCTAAAGCTAACTGTTAGTGCAGCGTTATAGCTTAAAGTCAGGGTGTACAAAATGGAGAGACAGTTTAAATAGAAGTTGAGTCAAAAACATTAATATTATAAAAAGAGAAAGGTTCAGAGAGACTAACACTGCACAGTACAGACTTTTTTACAATTGTGAATTTACAGTATAATGAGATTGTACATAGTTGAGTGGTGTGTTTTTCTCTGTGTTTGTCAAAGTCCTGTGATCATTTCACAGCTGATTCCAGATGAGTTATCTCTGCTTTTATTCTACAATCACCATGGAAACCACGTGTCATGTGGTTCCTGGCTCCACTGGTGGAGACTAGAGTATTTTTCCCAGCTATTCACCAGGACCAGGGGTCTGTGGTCAGGGTCTGCTTGATTCACTGACACATAAAAGATCTCGGATGTCCTCTTTACTGCTTTTCTTCTTCCTTTCTTTTCTGTTTAACCCCTCTCTGCCTCTTGAATGATCCATCTGTCAGTCCTCCACCCCTGGCTCTGAGAGGAGGTGGAGTTACCTCAATGTCCCCGACTCGGATGCTGAGACCGTGAGTCTCCTCTTCCGTGCTCTTGCATGTACATTCATATTCATGTACCAGAGCAGGTCACAGGTTGTACACTCAGAGACCCGACACACTCACTCTGTGTGTGCGCGCGCGCTCTCATCCTTTCAACTTCATCTGTTTCCATTAAGTCTAAAGCCCTTCCCATTTACTCTCACTGTCTCCCTGCAGGAAATAAACCTCTTTCCAGTAAAAGGAGCTCACTGTGGATATATTCCTGTTTTTTTACGTTGTTCCTCCCCTGTTGGGAACTATCTCCACTCACATCTGTACATGTACAATTACCTGCTGGGAATTGATTTTTTTTTTTTCAGCTCCACTCAGTGAGGTAGTAAAATGTGGTTCCTCCCTCTGGTCTGTGAAGATCAGCAGGTGGAGACAGATTAGAGTGTGTGCAGAGTTAGCTGGACTCTGCTGCACTGCTGCTAGGCTGCTGGGGATATATACTCTATATATCACCACAAAATGTGATGAAGCTGAAGTGGCACTACATACATTTATTAAACCAATTTTAGAATTGTTGGCAGTTGTTGGATTCTGGTTTTATTTTTTGTGTTTTTGGTAAATTGTACCATTTAGCTAAAATTGTATGAAGCTAATAAAGTTAGCTCCATATTTGAGCTAATTTAGCAACTAAACATTAGCATGGCTCCCTCTACAGGATTGGGTTAGTTTTGAATTCATGTCAGAGTGAATTAAATGTGTTCTGAACCCTGGCCTTTTCACTCACATATTCTGTTCATTCATTTTCACATCGTCACATATTTTCCCTCTTTGTTTAGCAATAATCTGTAGGTTTAAGCCCCACTATAATGTAGGCAGAACATTGGCTGGGTGTTGCCCCCTGTTGCCTAGGCCTAGAATTAACTATAGTTTGAAGGTTTGGCCATTAAAAAAACAATCAAGTTAGTTAGATCCTGAGAAAGGAAAATCCTTTAAAGGACTTTTTACCACAGATCTTGCATGTGTTTATTTTCCTCCTACTTTTTGCCTGTGTTTCTTTTTTATATCTCACCCTCCGCTCTCTCTCCCGTTGTGTTGCTCAAACAGAGCAGCATCAACAGCATGATGAGCATGTACAGTGACACCGGGGACTATGGCAACGCCAGAGTGAGCGGCGAGATCCTGCTCAACATCAGCTACAGCTACAAGACCGGAGCTCTCAACATCCTGGTCAAAGAGTGTCACAATCTGGCAACGGGAGATGAGAGGAAGCAGCGCACGGATGCGTACGTGCAAGAACACACGACGCGCTAACAGATACACACCTCCGATCACACACGGCTATTATTAGCTCAATCAGAAGAACTGATTTAAATGATTTTGAAGGATTTTCTAATCACGTGTACTTGTACCTGTATGAATTATTCACAGGTTACTAAGAGGAAAATTGGTGGAGAGAGAAAGAGAGAAAAAGAGGAAAATTGGTGGAGAGAGAAAGATTTCTGAATGTTTTAGAAGCAAGAAATGTTGTTTTTGACAAAATGTTATGTTGATCAAACTTTACCGTGGGTCTATGTCAACTTTTTCCCTGGCTGTCACTGTGTGGGTCACAGATAAAATACATGCATTCATCAAATTTTGTCTGTGTTTTTTCTGTTTTTTGGCAGCTACGTGAAGACGTACCTACTTCCAGATACATCACGACAGAGCAAGAGGAAGACGAGCATCAAACCCAACGCCATCAACCCAGTGTTCAATGAGAACCTACGGGTCTGTTTTCCTACCCTATTATTTAGGGCCAATGTAATGTTTGAATTCTTGTTCTGAGTTCTGATTTTATTTTTTATTTGATTACCTCAACTACAGTATGTGATCAGTCACTCCCAGTTGGAGACTCGAACGCTGCAGGTCTCTGTGTGGCACTACGACCGCTTTGGCCACAACAGCTTCCTTGGAGAAGTGGAGCTGACGTTCGACAGCTGCGAGTTGGACTCACAAATGGAGGACTGGTACGCTCTGCAGCCAAAGGTGGGAGCAGACACACGGCTGTTTTTATCTGTGCGTTAGAGCGGTGTGTGACAGTGACTGGTGTTTGTGTAGGTGGAGAGCAGCATCGACACCACCCTGCAGTACAAGGGAGAACTGACAGTGGTGCTGAAGTACATTCCTGCAGAGAAGAACCTCACGCTGCCTCTGGATCAAGTGCAAGGTACAACTTCAGCTGTGGATACGTACGGTTTCTGGCGTGAGGTTTTGTTCGAATCGCACTTCGTAGAATTCTTTTTTAGTCAAATTAGTGACTACGACTGGATTATATGATCATTTAAATTTTCTAACAAGTCATTTTGATACATCAAATGATGAATCAAGTTAGGAAAATGTGGTTATGTCAGATTAAAGCTGGAACCACTGGGATGTAGACAAACTAAAGAATGCTCAGCTGATCCAGTTGTAGAAAAATCTACCATTTGTGTCCATGACTGCATTAAAGTCTTCACTTCAGTGATTTGGCAGAAAGTCCTGACAACAGTCTGTGCACAGCTGGACGCAGATGTTGTTCTTCCAGGCACATCTTTTACAACAGTCAGGTTCAGACGGTGAAGCATCTGTTCACTGCCCTGGTCTCCACAAACATGTGGGCACAGTTCCAAAGTGCATCTGTTTTTGTATATTACAGATATATTATATTCCACATGCACAGCACTGTGCCAACAACAACCTTAAAAACTCACTATCGCCCTCATTTGCTGCCTAATTTAAAAGTCAATCTAGAGAAGCTAACGCTGGACTCAACGACATTTAACTGAAGCAGACCATACTCTTTTTAAACAAAACAAATTTAAAGGTTATGGACCAGTGTGGCTTCTGGACCTGTTCATCCAGGGAAGAGAGCTTGTTTTCCAGCCACAAGAAGGAAGTCACAGTTGTGACACTTTCCAGAGACCAGTCACAAAGGCACATTTCAATTCATACAGTAATCCCTACACCAAAGAAGGGCAAAACAAGATAAGTAAAAAACTCAAGAACAAAGGCAGTGGGCAGGAATTTAAAAAACTACAACAAGAGACAAAAGACAGGAATTAATGGCACATGAAAAGATCAACCAAATTAGCCAAACGACAGGTAGATTACCACTAGCAGGGTAACACTGACTCCATGTGGAGCTGCATCTTAAACACTGCCCTTCCTCAATTGGAGGCCACGCCCTCCAGTGCTCTGGCTCGTCAGCTCTGGATTCAGTGCAGCTGTGGAGAGAGGACACCAGCAGCAGAAACCACAGACCAGGACAGAGAAAAAACACCAACACCACAGTTATGCTCTAGTTATTTTGTACATTTGTCTTGAACTTTTGCACAGCCCCATAATTCCCTGGTGTGTGAAGCATACATTTGGTTTCAGTGGTGTTCCCTATAAAATACATTTATTTATACAGTGGTTTTGTGTTCATTCTTCTCCGCAGTGAAGAAAAGGTTCCTGAAGGGCAAAAGGACAAGTACCTTCACGATTCCTAAAGGAGGAATGGTGGAGCTGCTGGTCAAAGGAGCTAAAAATCTAACCGCTGTCAAATCTGGAGGAACGTCTGATCCTTTTGTAAAAGGGTGAGGGACCTCCTTCTGGTTAAGAAGCTTTTTCTTTTCCAGAGATCGATTTCAAATGTTGGTGTAGAATTTAAAAAACCTGGCTGTTACTGTTACAGGTACCTACTCCCTGACAGCAACAAGTCAACCAAGCACAAGACGGCAGTAGAGCGACGCACAGTGAACCCACAATGGAACCACACCTTTACCTACTGCGGTCTGCAGCCAGGAGACCTCGACAGCGTCTGCCTCGAGCTCACGGTGTGGGACAAAGAGGCTGTGGGCAGCAACGTCTTCCTGGGGGGAGTCAGGCTGGGAGCTGGAACGGGTGAGTCAACAGGAGGAAGCTGGTTAGGTCACCCACAAAAATACCTCAATAAACCTAAGAGGAGTTCATCTTGTCCATTCATTTCTTTGTGTTACATTTAATACCATAAAGAACTGATGTGTGATTTGGTCATATGTTGAGTTGGTCATAGCTTTGGAGGGAAAAGCTACGGGAACGAGGTGGACTGGATGGACTCCTTCGGTGAAGAACAGCAACTTTGGCATCGCATGATGGAACACCCCGAGGTGCCCCAGGAGTGCACACTGATGCTGCGGTCCAGCATGCGCAGCAGGTCCAACATATGAGTGGGAACGAGGCACAGAAACCACCCAGTGTTCAGAACCTTGTTTCCTGCCCGAGAACGGCCAATCATGCCTTACACCGTCATTTCCTTCACATGTTCCTCTGCTCTCCAAAGCATCATCATGACCAAACACTGCTCTATTTAACAGAATATATGTATGTGATTTTGCCAAATGAGCACTCGGTGCAGCTCCTGACGTCTGTCCTCATCCCTGTGATTCATGGACTCAAGTCGTAGGATTATTATTTGTAAGGTAGTTAACGAGGCACTGATCAACAATGTAGAAATGTAGACATTCCCTTTACGAACCACTAAGCTGGTCATGGTAAGTGTAGCACAAACTGAAGGACGAGCACAGAGGAGGAAAGTCGCTGACGTTGGTACTTCTGTAACGCAGTGTAATTACCCTTTGACAAGGCTTCAGTACTTGTTCGAGTAAGAAAAGATCATTTACGCATGCCATGTCAAAAATGTTTACGACAGTCAAAATGTTGTAGGGCAGGGGTCCCCAAACCCCGGTCTGGGGACTAGTTCTGGTCTGTAGGTCATTTGGTACCAGGCCGCAGTGGGACACAGTGAAACAAAATTAACTATTTTTACTATTTTAACGAGTAAACAGTGAAGCACAAACAGCACAATCTCGCCAAGTTACGACAGCTCAACTTAGGTTAGCTTAGAAAACAGCTGGAAAGAAAATGATAGAAGTTATATCAAATATAACTTGGTCTAGAAGTAGTTAAAAGATATTAGCTAACCCTGAAATTACCCAAAAGACACCTGAAATTTGTTAGCGCTTAAAACCAAAATCAAAACTAAATGAAAGGAAAAACAACAACTTATGTGAATGTAGCCGTGGCTGCTTAGCATATTTTATGATTGAAGTTACAGGAGTATTAGCAGTTCAGTCACTTTCCTCCTCCCATTGTTAGTTAATTTAAACAAAACAAAACAACCTGTGGCACATGTCTGGTTTGTCTGTTCATAGTTTATCTTAGATTCAATGTAAATTTAACATAACACTGTATCAGTGTGATGGTAGAAGCTGCATGGTACTGTATTAGCCCAAACCGAGGTAGAAGAACAAAAACCCTTTTTGTTATGACTTTAAAAAAAGCACTGAAAACAAGTTACTTTATCACTTTAAGCTCAGAGAGAGACAACATGTGTGATCCTCAGTGGCGCCTCCTCAGGCCGTAGCTGTGTTTCCTTAGTAAAGGAGTGAGTCAGAACCGTACAGGGATGCATTCGTCATCACAGGGGGGAGCCCTCGTAATAAATTGAGTTGATGACATTCAACCTTGTCCCACAGGCCTCGTGGGTGGCCCTCAGGGCTGGTTGAGCAGTGATGAATCATAACTATCACCAAGAAGGTGAAGAGTGGAAGGAAAGAAAAAAGAAAAACTCTATTTACCTTTTTCTTATTGGAATGCCAGTCCTTCACTTTAGCCTTGACGAACGCTCTCCTCTCTGAGCTTCCATAGAGAAAATGGTTTCACATTTACTACAGTAATAATTCATGTGTCTGTTTACTGTATGGCATTTAAAAAAAAAATTAAAAAACGAATGCAATACCTGATTACTGGATGGAAACTGTCGATGAACAGCATGTACTGTATTGTCTCTCTGAGGGTCAGACAAACACAAATCAGTCTTTTGTGTCCCAAATCTGTCACAGAATATTTTGAAATAAACATCTTTCCATTTATTCTCAGACAAGTTTCTTTAACTATAGGTTTGTCTTTGTTCGTAGATATGTGCTTGTGATATTTTGGAGCAATTTAAAGCAAAGGATTAGCCAATGAAAAAAAACCTTTCCATTAAGAATACATGCAGTAACGATGCTAATATGGGGAATATAGCAAAATAACTAGCTAGCTACAAAACATAGCAAATCAAATAGAAGTCAATTATAAATAAATAATAGGGATGTCCGATAATATCGGCCGACCGATATAATAATAATAATATATAATAATGCCTGTACAAGTCGTTATCGGTTTTTCCACCGATAATGAAAACCCGATAGCAATTCCTGGGTTTCGTCTGGGTTGTGTGCCCTAAAAATAGTTTTGGGGATAAATGGCTGTATATTAAGTGAAAGTCACTAGATGGCAGCAATGCAGCTTATTTAATTAATCTCATTCTCATAAAGTGGTTTGTACAGATATAAAAATAAATATTACAAGGCCTATATGGGTATCAGTTGATATCAGAATCAGAAATTAAGTGTTTGGACAATATCAGCAAAAAGTCAATATCGGACAACCCTAATAAATAGGATAACAGTGGCTCTGTGAAGATGCTGAAATTTTGACTGGGAGTGACCAGGAGGGGGAGATCGGAAAAAGCTGATAAGAATGACAATAAATTCTTCTTCATTCTGCACCTGAGATGATCTAATGCAACAAACTTCAAACTGTTTTTAATCAGTGTCTATGTTACAAATTAACTGTACATAACACATACACAGTTTATATCATCATTTATCTGGGAGGAGACATAAATATGAGACAAGTAAAAGATCTATAGTTCATACAATAAAAAGGCTTTTTTGTACAAAACAGTAAAACATATTTGGATGTGAAAATATTTATATTAAGAATAAAACATGGTGAAAGGTGTAACTGAGGGATCAAAAAAAGATCAGCACCATATCAAACACGCGCAAACACACACACACACGCACTCAATCAGCCACACATGAACACACACACCATAGTATACAGAACTAAAAGAGTTCAAACTGTCATCCTGTTGAGACTTTGACTGAGGCTGTGATTGCACAGTAGTGTTCTATGATTGACAGGTCTGCCCCGCCTCCTGCTGTAGCACCATCTCATCCTTGCGCAAAGGGAACGTGTCAATGGTGGTGAAGAGTTCAGCTGCCGTGATTGGAAATGGATATCGTTGTTTGTCGATGCCCTGTTTGTCCAACAGCACCATCTGGAAGGATCGCTGAGAGATCCGGAGCAACAACCTAAAAATCAAACGCACACAAAGGATTAGCTAATTCCAGTGTGAAAAAGTCCAATGAGGCTTCCACAGTATGCTACGGAACACAACAGTAACAAGGAGTGAAAGGTTGGCCTTACCGAAACAACTGTAAGGCTATTGAGGCTATTGAAAATGAATTGCTATCAGAATAATACGTTTTAATAAGAAAACGCTGAAAGTACGCCAAAACCAATCAGACCTAAAATTAGCTAATGGTCATATATTTAAGACAGAAAAACTCAGTCTTGGTGCAAACATGTTTTAACTGATCCAAAGAAGTAGAATTTCTAACGTATATGTCAGCATTTAAAATCCATCACTTCATTCCTGGGGAGCAGTGATTACTTTTTGACAATTCTAAAAGAAATGGTGAGCTAGGGAAGCAATGCCAACACACCGCAGGCAGCCAGCGTTGGATTTGGACCTGCACTCCTCAGATAAGAAGCCTGATGCTCTAAACTCTAGGACAGCCGTCCCCAACCCTTTTTTGCACCATGGACCAGTTAAATGTCTGAGAATTGTTTTCAAGGAGCGGTGGCAGATAAATACAATGAAATAAAATCATACGACCAGCATAAAAACTGGTATAATATAATACTAAATGTTAAGCCACTGTGTATGCATTTTATTAGTACGAGTGTCCTCGCAACATCGCGATTGTCTTTTGATGCAGAACGCTTGGTCTCCAAGTGGTGAAGCAGTTTTGAAGGCTTCACCGCCTCATCCGCTCGCCACGTATTATGCAGCGCTTGGTGCGTGGAAACAACCTGTCGCAATCAATCCATATTTCAAGCTGGAATTGGCTGTCAAATGCAGCTTTCTATTTCTTTGAAGACGTACACTCTTTTTCTGTCTCCTCATTGGCTTTTTTACCCTGCGCTTTCCACTTTCCAAATGTTTGTTTTCAGTTCATTTTGCTAGCTTGGGGGTCTTGATTTAGCAGTAATGTATTAGGTGTTACCGGCCGGAGCAGACCTTTAAAGAAGGTAGGTAAGACATGTGACCGAGGCATCTTGACATGCATCAAGTGTGAGTCATAGACAGATGCGGCGGAGAGAATCCGGTTAATTTTTCAAAATACTGTATCGTGCAGCATCAGTTAATAAATAAAATAGAAATAATGTAAGTTGTGCATTCTTTCTGTACCAATCGACCCACGGACCAGTGCCGGTCTGCAGCCCGGGGGTTGGGGACCACTGCTTAAGGTCATGTTGCCTAAAGACAGTGTTACGGACTGGCAGGGTATGAGGCAGGCAGGACCCAAATGCAGCCCGAGGAAGACTCTCTTCTGTTGCAGCAGGTTTATTTACAACAGTCTTGTCCACAACATGCAGCTCTACAATACATGCTCTTCTCCAACACATGGACACAAACAGCTAACAACACATGATCCCACAAAGACAGAGTGAGGGAGAAAGGTGTATATATACCCAGGGCACCAGGTGACACCAGTGAGACTAACGACAGAGACACAGGTGAGGGTGATCACTGTGATTAACTCTACCCAGCAGCCAATACAGGAAGGGTTTGTCTTACTTTCTTAATGAGCACCAGAAAAACCTTTAAAAAGTAAAATATATATCCTGTATGTGTCCTTATCCATTAGTGTCCACCTGTGTGTGCTCATGTATTCATACCTGATCTGCAGGGCCAGCGCCGGGGTCAGCAGCCTGTGTCGAATCCGTCCGATCTGTGCAGGATAAGTTCCCACTAACTCAATGACTGTGACATGTCTCAGGTCCAGTCCACACTGAGCCGGCTGTTCTCAGCAAAGAGAAGAACATTTTTAAAAAATCAAACACAAACACAACTTTATTACCAACTCCCTGGCAGCCAGAGTTTCTACCGAACACATCGCACCAACTGATCTGTTCACGTCTTAATTAGTTGCTCTTAGTGTTCTTTGAAGCTTAATTATTCCTAATTATTTCTGGCTAATTTCTAGCTTTTTGGATCATGCTTTTATGACATTTTTAGAGCTTTTCAGCAGCATTGCATCCTTAACTAAAAAATAACTTTTCCTGGAAATTTAACTTTAACATATTTCCCAGGTTCCCAAAGCTCTTCATATTAAATTCCTTCTTTGGTGTATGAAAATATACAGACAATTCAACAAAGAAAACATCATCTGACCTGTAGATTGGTCATCTGGAAGCGATAATTATGATTGGCCGCTGTGGGAGCTGAGATGATGAGCAGGCGTCTCTTTTCATAGAACTGGTCCAGCAACGCCGCGGCCGTCCTCACTCCCACATTAATATTCATGGCTGTGATGACAACGAATGTACAATGAGGCGATCAGCTCACAGTGCGTCACATCACCAGCACATTATACCACTGAAAATTAACAGTTACGCTAGGCGTTTCTGTGTCAATGGGTTTAGCATGATTAGCTTAGCCAGCACGACGACACAGAATTCATCTCTAAATATAACCATATCAACAATTCTGACAATTATCAGTGTCAGAATGACAGTGTCAGTTCATTCAACTTGTGGTCAATGTGTAAACATAGACATTATTTAAATGTTTGACTGTTGACAAAGGCTGTATTTAGCCACATCATCGCTATATGTGTCCAGGTGTGTCATTTACTAGGCTGTCTGAATGTTCTTGGACTACGAGAGAAGTTAATGAAAAAATATGTAAATCCATACTTTAACAGACGGTGAACTCCTTTCTTTTTACCACTCTGTGTGACCTTGTTATTCTGAGGAAGCAGAGCTAGCATCTTCTCCACCATCTGCTCCTTAATTTGTGTGTTTCCTGATCATTTTCCAAGAGTTTTTCTCTGATAATTAATTATTTGGAGAAAAAACAAGACGAGCAATCTTTAAGGAATGAGATATTCATAATGTTTTAATTTTGGCATTTTCTTTATGAAAGAAGCCGTGAAGAGTAGGCGAGTGAGCTGTAGAATGATTAACAAGGGTTTTGGGACGAAAACATTAGGGACAAAATGTCAGTCATCAGTTAGTAATAATCTCAGAAAAGCCCCACTAATAAAAACTACTGAAAAAAAAAATAAACTAAAAACCGAAACAAAACTGTGTCAGTGCGTTGGTCTGTGAAGAGAACCTACCTGTACAGGTGGTATCTGTGCCGGACCAGGTGAGTCCGTACTGACACACTCTGGCAGCGCTGCCCTGCAGCTCGTATCCACCGATGCACTTAAAATTACAGGTGGCGCCGTAGTTGTCTCCGTCGCTGTCGCACTTCATGTACCCATTGTCTGGTGGGAAGAGTGGGCTGCACCGTCGCACTGACAGGGACAGGACAGATGTGAGGCAGAGAGTGTGAAAGTACTGCGGACTGTTGGCATTAAAGTAGATACTGCAGTGTTTTCAGCAGAGCGACCTCAAAAAATAAATGATTTTAGTTTTTGTTGGGGTTTTTTTCTCTAACCTTTGCAGTAGCTTACTCGGACAGAGGTTTCCAACCTTTTTATTCTGTAAATATGTTTCACCAACAATATTTGGTCTGTGAAAAATATCATTTTGAAGCTTATAACAAAATAAATAAATATGCAAATAATATATTTCTTCTTTGCAGCCCTGCATGGGCTCCTCTGCCGTAGACTAAGATTCAGTTGATAGAATTTATTATTATTAACCATGAAACACATGGAGGTGTTCAGTGTAAATGTCTTGTCTTGTCAATAAAAAGCCTTTAGATTAAAGTCTAATTCTGCTTTCAGAGGCTCACCTCTCACTCTGACAGTGAAGCGACAGGTTGCTTTGTTCCCCGCTCGGTCAAACACAGTGTAGGACAATTTATGAAGCCCCTCCGGAAAGTCTGACTTTGAAGGTTTCCCTTTCAAGGTAACGCTGCAAAAGACAGGCTCACTTTTAATCTTCCACAGTGATCTTTCCCCGTTTCAGGGTGGAATCACAAAGCCTTTAAAAAAAGCACTTTAAGAAGACAAAACTGACTCTGTGAGGATTCCGTCTGCAGAGTCCACTCCCTCTGGTGTGTCCCAGGTCACCCTGGCTGTCAGTTTTCCTGGCTCTGCCCATTTGTCTTTTACAGTAGGACATTTCATTTTAGGTGGCTCCATATCTGCACGAGGGAAAATGACAGGTATTTGAACAAAGCTTAAAGCCGCAGTGGGGAAAAAAAGTATAAAAAACAGTCGGGATTGTAGGAAGAGAACGATTTAAATGGTCTGAGAAACAAGATGATGTGAAACATTTCAAGTATTAAACAGATCTGTGCCATTACTGTGCAGGAAGTCAAGTTTTCAAAGAAACAAACTGCTACTGCGCTGCACTGAGATCTGAAGGAGTGCGTGAACTTCCTCTGATTGTCAAAAGTTTACCAAGGTTGTAACACCATTCAGCTGGCATTTATACAACACAGGCGGTCTAGTTGCTCAGCTATGAGTCAGAAGATGAACTGTAAAACATTTAAAGCATAAATAAAACATGTTTTTTTTTTTATAGGATGGAGAAGAAAAGTCGTGCTCTCATCTTCCTTCATTTAAATAAAGATTAGATCAGGAACTTTGCAAAACACTTGAAGGAGCGCATTTATATCTGTGTGAATCAATGGACTTTTCAAAGACAACAACATGCAGACATTTTTCCAGGCCCTTCGTGGTCTTACCGACACATGTAGGAACCTCCACACTCCACCTCTTGTTGTGCTGACAGGTCGTTGTCTTCTGGCCCTTCAGACTGAATCCGGGGGAGCAGAAAAACTCACAGCGGGAGTTGAAGTAAGAGCCGTCTGAACACTTGTAGCCCCCGTTAGCAGGCATGTTCAGCTTTGGGCAGCGGATCTCTGCCAGAGGTGGAGGTTGAATAGGTTAGATTCTAGAGTCAAAGCATCTGTGCAGCAGATAAATCTAAAATAGTTCATGTCATATTCAGGACGAGTGCACTTGGATTAATTAGAGGACAGTCCCATCAATTGTCCACTAGGTTCTGGCTCTCACCTCTGCAGGCGTAGTTAGACGACCAGTGTTTGCTGGCCATACACACCACCTCCTCACTCTGGATCTCATATCCCTGCTTGCAGCGGATTTTACAGCGTGTTCCCATCACGTTCCTGTATTGCTCTCCTCTGGGCGTGCGGCAAGTCACATGGCCATGTTTCACCTTAATGGGCGCGCACCACGGCGTCCCTAAAAGTGAGGCAAGACAGGCACGCTGACCTTTTATCTGCTGTAACAAAAAGCCTGTTCCTGTGGTGAGCCCTCAGACGTGAGAAGAAGATAAAGGGATCAGTATTTAAGCTCTTACCTCCAGACTGGGAGCTGCTGTCAGAGAGTTTCTGAGACTGTGAAGCCAATAAAAGCCATCCATCATCTGATTACAGACAGATACAATGGATGGATTTTTTTCATTACCATGTCTGAGGTCTACCCTTCAGTCTGAGAGTTTGAAACTGTAGGGATTGTCTCAGTTAAATGTGGGGATAAATAAAGAGCCAATGTCACTTGATATACAACTGAAAGTGAATTATTTGTCATTGTAACACAGCACACCACTGCTCACTATGAAACTTTTAACCCATCACCAAAGTGAACAGTGGGGCAGCTTAAAGCACCTGCGGAGTGTGTGGGAACAGTGCCTTGCTAGGAGCACCTGGTAACTTGGCAGCTTGTGGACTCGAACCAGAAACCTTCCGGACCCAAGTTTTCCTCCTTAACCACCAAGCCTACAGCTGCTTTCACCCCTCCAAGATGTTGTCTCTTAACCTACACCAATAAACAGGGGGTGGGTAGAGGGGTTTCAAACTATAAAAATCCGACCACCAAAATTCTAAAAGAATGTGGCCAACCATTAAATCTCACTAAAAAATCCAAAATGTTTTTCAGCATTTCTCTGCTGCCGTCCCTACAATACTTGCATAACAATTCCCTCATCTGATGCAAGGCTTGAGTTGCCAAATAGCGTTTCTTCTCCAAATCATGAAAATGAGAAAAAGTCACCCTTTGTGCTCCCTGTGGCTCAGTCAGGACTAACAGTCGGCGTTGTGGACCCACTCATGCTCGTAAATGTACGCATCAGATTAGGCCAATTTCTATTTGGACTGAAAATAGGAGTTTCATTACACAGCAAACCAGCCTCCACCACAGCTCCCTTGTGCATGTGTGTGTGTGTGTGTGTGTGTCTGTGTGAAAAGTGGCTCCACAGCCACTGAGTGAGAGAGAAAATAAAACTACATCTCAGCCTCTACACAGGCAGAAAGGTTGGTTTGGCCTGGACTGTAATGTTCCATGTCTGAGTGACCCTGAGTCTGTAGACCGAAGCTACTATGACGTATCTGCGTCGGTGTACAGAAACTGGCTGAGTGGACTGCCGTTAAATTACTGCTTTTAAGGAAACATTGAAAAAAAATCCATTTCTAATTTTAAACCTCAGACTCAGTGAATTTCTTTTCTTTCTAACTGCTTTTAAACATTTTATTCTTATGAAAGACATTTTTACTCCAGGGTAGACAGAACAGGGGAAAAAATGGTTTACCCCAAAGACTACTTTCTAGGTGACATGGATACTAAAATAGTGACTGTCTTCTTTTTTTATCAGTTTAGTGGACTCCCAAAGCATCATGGTCCATGGAGTCTGCCTGAAATCATTGTAACCTGTATATTACTCTATCAAAACAGAAGGATTAAATACTGTAGGTTTATGCTTGACTTAATGGATACCCATACCATAACCAAAAAAACCCAACACAAACACGAAAGAAAGTGAATGTAGCACAATCCAATATATGTTGTACATCTGGAGAATGTAAACAAAGCTGTCGTTGACATACTCTCGCCCGCTAGTTCCCATTCAAACTAGTTGGCAAGTTTTAACAGCGTATGCTTTCTTAACAAATTTATGGGCGATGGAAACGTAACCATGAAATGCCCAAGGTCACGAAGGTCATAAATCAAGGCCCCCTCTGTAATTACCATAAATGTAGTACTAAAAAAACTATGTTTTGAGAAAGAGTGACTGTCGATCACACTGGTCACAGACTTGATTTCAATACATCTTACAGAACAATGAATTTTAATATAATAATATCGGCCCGATATTAGCATAATTATGTAATATCTGTAGGGTCATTATCGGTTTTTCCTCCGATAATGATAACGCAATGTCTGGGTTTCGCCAAATGATAAGTACCCTAAAAATAGTTGTGGGGTTAAACGGCTACATATTAAAGTGAAAGTCACTAGATGGCAGCATTGCAGCGCATTTTATTGATCTATTTTAATAATCAGGGAATTGTATGCAGAATGATGGTAGCAGCAACACAATACAGTGGTTTCTACAGATAAACAAATTAATATTACCAGGCCTATATCGGTATTGGTTGATATCGGAATCAGAAATTAAGTGTTTGGAAAATATCGGTATATCAGATATCGGCAAAGAGTTAATATCGGACATCCTGATAATAACCATTGTACCAAATAGTATTAGCGTGATAGAAGTTGTACATGTGTTTATGTAGCTTTAACAGATTTAGAGACTGAATGCATTATTCATTTTTTGTCTTGATTTTAGAATGCAGGTCACGGAGATGGAGATGAAGATAAAGGCCGTGGTTGAGCAACGCAATTAATTTTGGAGGACTTTACCCAAGTCCACTTCATTTCCCTGAAGCCTCTCACAACGAGAGCCGACTCTCGTAATGACTCTTGATCCTCAAAGAGTAGTGCCTTAAATAAACAATCCCTCTGATAAAATACCTCACCTGTATACTGACGAGAATACCAGTCCTCATCATCTCCGTGGGTGTACTGTCCTGACCCTGGAGGTGAGAAACAGAGAGAGAAGATAGAAAGAAAGAGAAAAAAGCAGCTAAAATAACTGAGAGAATTCCATCCAAGATGTTAAGCAATGTTTGAAAGCACTGTCCTCGACTGACCTCGGAGAGTATGAGGCAAAAACAGCACCAGGATCAGTCTTAAGAAGCATTGCTTAACTTTTCATTTGAACCAGACTCCAGTAGGGGGGGGGGTCAGTGATGTCAGTAATCAGACAGATAAAAACTCTGTTCAACTCTCTGACCCCAAAGTGTGTGGTAGAAATGAAAGTCCAAACCTCATTTCTAGAAAGGTTGGTGCCATGTTTACTTTACCTTTATTCACCAGGCGGAGCAACACAGGGGCCGGCCACTCTACTGTTGGCAGTGGTTTTCAAAAGAAAAAGGTCTCTATGATTTCAGCACATTTGGTCAGTGTACTTAACAGGACTTTAAACCTTAGAAAAAGTTCCTTTCTACCCAGTCATAAACCTGTAGACACTGAAGAACCTGTCCATCTGTGGGGCCTTGGGGTCAGACTGTGTGTTGAATATCTTTCAAATAAACGATTCAGATGTATTAGCAATCTACAAAGATTGCTTTTACGGCACCAACTTTTCTTGAAATGACATTTGCAAATGACTTCAATGATACTTACCCAGACAGACAGACACAATTCCACTATCAATCTACTTGGTAAAACAAGGCAATCTGTCTCCAGACTGTGAACCGCAGCAGTAGAGAAGAAGCGCAGTGTTTCTCATTGGTGGCTGCAGAGCTGCTGGGGGACATGGAAGAGTGAGTGGCACTGGTGAGAGAGAGATGTGAGGGGAATCGTGATGAGCTCAGAGCAGAGGATTATTTTTGGTGAAGTGGGAGAAGGCATACGAAGGCAGGAGCAGGTCAGGATGCAATAAAAATAAAGAGGAGAGGGTGAGAAGGTGGTTAAAGCTGAGGCTGGGTGCTGGGGTTCAACCTTGGCCCTGGGATGTAAGGAACCTCAGAGTGAATGTGTCTGCTCTTCAGAACCCACAGAGCAGCTTTCACGTGTTGATTGATGAACCTGATACTGTGGACACATTTGCTTTTCTGCTCCTCATTTCTGGTTATGACTTTTCTGTCAGTCTAATAAAAACTGTCTGGACCCAAAAGGACATCTCATATATACACACACACGCACACAAAAACTGTGAGGTTTTGACAGTCGGATCACACAGTCAGAGCAAACCCACACAGTGAGTGAGTCAGATCTCGAAGCCTAATGGGAAAACTTCAATGTCTGCTTCTAAATGAGGGGTGGGAGTGGGGGAGCGAAAGGTATAGAAAACTGATCACAGGTGTGTGTGTGTGTGTTTGTGTTTGTCTTTAAGTAGACATGAAATAAAAATAAGGGCTTCCTACATTTTTATTACATTATTACATTTTTTGACCAAGAAAACAACCATTACATTTGGATGAAACAGAAGCTCCTTTATCTGATGTATATTCTAAAAATATTCAAAGGAAAGGAAAATGTGTTTGTTTTTCACCAATTAAAACTAACTGGATATTCCATAAAAGAAGAGTGCAAAGAAGCTTTCATAAATATTGTCTTCGTTATGGGTGGACAAAAACCTCCACTACATCCAAAAACAGAAACATTAAAAATAGAAACATTTATAACATTTATAAAAAATTAAAACAGAAAAGACGCTTGAGCGAGTTCAAATACATGAGCAATACATAAAAGATCACTAAAGGCAAGCCCTCATGTGCAGTACACCCTCATACTGTTTTTATTAGCAGGGAAGAAAAGTAAAAATAAGTTCATGGAATTGTTTTTTAAAAACATTTCTGCACTAGTTTCTATCCGTGAATTTCCCTGGGACGGGAAGCAGTAAACTTTCCCTCCTTTTTCTACTTCTTTTGCTCTGTTTCTTGATTGTTATTAAGTTGCTGTGGTTTTTGATTGCTGTTTTCATTATTGCTGTAATGAACACTGTTTGTATTCATTAGATTCTCTTTTATTGTTTGCTTCCTCTTTTATATTGTCGGGTATTGTTCGCTCATTTAAAGACCATATAAAACAATGAATACAAATGAAGTGGATTGTCTGTAATCTGTGATTTTATTGTCTCGGGTGACACTTTAGGAAAACCAGTCATTGTCATTGGTAAATCTATTAAACAAAGATGGATCATTCCTGGCATTATATTTTATTTTTGAAATCCAAATAGTGTAAGAAGTAATAATAACACTAGAACCTAGAACCCATCTGTCACTCAGTCTGCAAAAGCCTCTAGTGTTCTTGTTTTGTCTGACTAATACTGTTGTATTGGGCACATGAAAAGAGATTGGAGTTGCGTAGCATTCCCAAGTGTTCGTTTTTTTCTTTGATTGTGAAATCATTTCTTATTCAAAAGAGAATCAGAGATCTGAGCCCCAACGTACTAATAAATCTGTCGACTAATAAGGACTGATCTGAGGCCAGCGTTACCCTCCCGTTCAATTATTCCTCCTTCAAATTAGTTTATGGAGGGAAGTTATGTTAAAGTACAGGCGGCGTTAAACATCAGGGGGTGATAAGGTTTTAAATCACAGGGGATGATATTCCAATTAGCTTTCCTCTGCAGGCCTTTGATACAGCATGTCATTATGTGGAAGTTCACCGGCTGGGTTAAAGTATAGCTGAAGGCTAACACAGCATCAGAGAGCTCGTTCCACTCACATTGATTATAGTTATTACATTTTCTTTTATAGCACTAATGATTCTGCTGCTGCTTCCTAGATCATATTGACTGTCAATAAGACCTGCTCCTCATGTCCACTACATCTGCTCCAATCACATATCAGCTGAAAGACACTAACTCGTATTCAGTCAATTGATTTTCGCGCAGTTACTGTACACAGCCAGCGGTCAACGAGGAGCGCCCTCTTTCCAGACGGGATGGGTACCTGATCTAATTATCTATCTATCTATCTATCTATCTATCTATCTATCTATCTATCTATCTATCATAACATTTCTGACATAAAGTGTTTGTGCATTTTTTTCACAATTCATCAAGCCGTACTGAACCCCCTAGTGCGTCACCTTTGGCCCATAAACCATATTTTTGACGCACCTGCCATAATTGCAACAGACAACTTATTGATTTAATTTAATCTAAAATATATATATCCCAGCAATTACAAAGTTACCCCAAAGATTGATAAACCTTTTTGATTAAATTACCCATGAATTATTCCATAAATGCCTCTGAAACAAAGAACATTGAAAGCTCACGTCCTGATCTTAGGTACAGTTCATAGGTGTGCCCTTTGACCCTTCAACCTAATACAAATACACACCGGTAAAATAAACTCCGTGTAAACACACACACACACACACACTCAGTACAAAGTGGAGTTCTGTCTGTGAGCACTCAAAGCAGCTTTTAGTCTGTCGGTGTAAATCTGTTCAGCAGCTAGTGTTCATGTTACAGCCTGTATGATCACATACAAGAGTGGTGAGCCACTCTCATACCAACACACAACCACAAACTCACACACACACACATGCACACAAACCTCCATCTAAACTCCAGCCTTGTGTTCATTACAGTCGTCAGCTGCAGGAGTCAGACTCTGCTCTGTCTACTACCACAGTTCTGCCACACATTCATCTGCTTAATGATTACATGTACACCTACTTGTAGTAGAGTCCTTTAGTATTTTGACATGACAATCAGTCTGGAAAACAAAAATAAATTGAACCCTAAATTAAAGGATGATCCACGGGATATGTTTGATTAAATCTCTAGTAAATAGTATAGGTGTGTTCACACCAAATGTGGTGCAATTTTTACATTTTTACACTGCTCATAAACCTGCAATAACAAGATGTAAAGGAGAAAGATAATGTATAATTTAGTGGAACAATTTTTGGCTTCATGTACATGTGTATGCTGACTGATATGCTGCAATTATTTTGTTAATATTATCATTATATAATAGAACAAAGTCTTTACCTAATAATAATCGGTACCAGGTGGTACCTGAATGGTTTTCAAGCCACGGACCCCCATAGTGACCAGGAGACTGGACAGGTACCCTCTACCATATATACTGTAAAAAATACACCTTGTAATTTTGCATTCAAAACCAAGCTATTCGAATATTACACAGGTTCATATTTGTTTTTTAATTCCAACATGTCAGTAGACCAACCACATATACTTGGTTGGATATTGGACTCATGTGATTGGCAATGTAGTTTAAAAAATAAATAAAACACACTCAAGATACTCTCATCTACTGTAGTAATGGTTAAGGGGGAGTATATTTGCCAGATTTGTATTATGAATGAAGGTCATGGCTGGGTCCAGGAAAAACTACGTATGTGAGGGGGCCGGGGGGGTCTCTGTGTGTTTACTCAGCAGTATGGAGTACAGTAAATAAACCAGAGGCAGCAGCGTCGAGATGACGTGACGCACAGTAAAAAGAGATTTTAGATTTAATTCTGAGAGGTTGTTGTCGAGGATCATAAAGTAGGCCAGATGAGTTCACAGGCTAAGGGTTAATGTTGGCGCACAGCGCCGCACGGCTGCAACCTTCTCATTAAAACAGCCGCAGTCAGGCTGAAACTGTGCGCAGAAATGTCCCCCACATGCACACTGCACTCCCCCCGCACTCACCCCCTCCACGTAAACACAACCGCAGCTCACCAACGGAGAAAAACGCAGTCATCAGTAACGGTCAGAGAAAAACTCGTCAAAAACTCCACTACGAGTTTCAAAATGAGATTTTTAACGGCACTGACCACAGCAGTTCACACACACACACACACACACAGCCTCGATTCCGGGACAGAGCTGGTCATCTGATCAGGTCCAGGTCACAAAGTCAGAAAAGTTGACTCAACAGAGAAATGATGATTTCAGTTTACCTTCATACCCGGAGCAGAGGAGGACATGGAGGCTCAGGAGCACCAGCAGCTGCAGCCACATGTCCATAATAATCCAGAGAGGAGCAGGACTGAGGCTGCT